CGCAAAATAAAAAAGGAAGAAAAGGCTCGAGAGAAGGATCGGAAGAAGCAAAGGGCTTTGGAGAAAGCAAAGCTAGGGGAGGAAGGGAAGACAAGCCCTAGAAAGAGTTCCTCGAAGAAGAAGAATGGCAATGAAGAAGATAATCTTTGCGATTTCGTCAACCCAGAGACTCCTCTTGGCGAGAAGAAAAGGTTTTCTTCACTGATGCCCAAGCAGTACTCTCCTTGTACGGTAGAGAAATCGTAAGTGCCCTTAAACCCTAGTCGCTGATTTTGATATATTATTCCCCAATTGGATGATGATCTCTGTGTGGTTTTTTGTTGGGTCAGATGGTATGAATGGTGGGAGAAATCGGAGTTTTTCAAAGCTGATGCGAAGAGATCTAAACCCAAGTTTGTGATTGTTCTTCCTCCTCCCAACGTTACTGGAGCTCTGCATATTGGCCACGCACTAACTTGTGCAATCCAGGACACTCTCATTCGTTGGAAACGAATGTCGGGATTCGAGGCTCTGTGGGTTCCCGGGTTTGATCACGCCGGTATTGCTACAGAACAGGTGGTGGCGAACCATCTATGGCATGAAACAGGAATGACTAGGCATGACTTTGGCCGTGAAGAGTTTTTAAACCAAGTCTGGAAGTGGAAGAACGAGTATGGTGGTAAAATACAGGCTCAGCTACGTCGCTTGGGATCCTCTCTTGATTGGTCCCGTGAGTGCTTTACACTGGACGAGCAGAGATCAAAGGCTGTCACTGAGGCCTTTGTAAGGTTACACAAGGAAGGGCTTATCTACAGGGCTAACCGGCTTGTTAACTGGGACTGTCATCTAGCAACTGCCTTATCTGACCGTGAGGTTGAGCATGTTGACATCAAAGGAAGAACACCAATCAAAGTTCCTGGGTATGACCAGCCCGTAGATTTTGGTCTTCTCACTTCTTTTGCCTACCCTCTAGAGAGAGGAGGTGGTGAGCTTATCGTTGCCACTACGAGGGTCGAAACAATGCTCGGTGACACCGCTATTGCTGTTCATCCCGCTGATGCAAGATACAAGCATCTCCACGGGCAGTTCGCTGTTCATCCTTTTAGTGGACTCAAGCTACCAATCATCTGCGACGAGAAACTTGTCGATCCAAGCCTTGGTACTGGCTGTGTGAAGATCACCCCGGCACATGACCCCAAGGATTTCGATGCTGGGAAACGCCACAATCTCAAATTCATCAACATACTCACCGACGACGGAAGGATCAATGCAAACGGTGGGCCTGAGTTCTCAGGGATGCCACGTTTTACAGCTCGCAAAGCCGTTGTTGAGGCCCTGCAAAGGAAGGGCCTTTACAGAGGTGAGCACAACCATGAGATGCGGATTGGTCTTTGCTCAAGAAGCAGTGATGTTGCCGAGCCTATGATCAAGCCTCAGTGGTATGTGAGTTGCAGCGACATGGCAAAGGAGGCTCTTGATGTTGCTGCAGACGGGAAGCTCCAGTTTATACCTGAGCATTACTCGGCAGAATGGAGAAGATGGTTAGAGAACATATGCGATTGGTGCGTCTCGAGGCAGCTTTGGTGGGGTCATCGCATTCCTGCTTGGTACGCCACGCTTGAAGAAGATCAGCTCCAAGAAGTAGGTGCCTACAACGACCATTGGCTTGTTGCCAGGAACGAGGAAGAAGCCCGACAAGAGGCTGCACTCAAGTTTGCTGGAAAGAAGTTGTCGGAGCTCTCCCAAGATCCTGATGTCCTTGACACATGGTTCTCTTCCGGCCTTTCTCCCTTATCTGCTTTGGGATGGCCAGACGAAACCGAGGACTTCAAAGCCTTCTATCCAACCTCTGTTCTCGAAACCGGACATGACATTCTCTTTTTCTGGGTTGCTCGGATGGTGATGCTAGGAAAGAAATTGGGTGGAGGTGATGTTCCGTTCAGGAAAGTCTTTTTGCATCCAATGATACGCGACGCACACGGGCGCAAAATGTCAAAGTCTCTTGGAAACGGCATTGATCCGCTTGAAGTCATCAACGGTGTAACTCTTGCAGGGCTTCACACGAGGTTAGAAAAAAGTAATCTGGATCCAAGAGAGTTGGTCGTTGCCAAGAAGGGACAGGTGAAGGATTTTCCAAAGGGTATCCCCGAATGTGGCTCTGATGCTCTTCGTTTTGCGCTCGTCTCTTACACGGCTCAATCTGATAAAATAAACATGGATGTTCTCCGAGTTGTTGGTTACCGCCAATGGTGCAACAAACTGTGGAACGCAGACAGATTTGCGATGATGAAGCTTGGAGATGACTACACTCCCCCTCCTCTGCACACTCTAAGCCCTGAAATCATGCCTTTGAGCTGCCAATGGATTCTCTCTGTACTAAACAAGGCAGTGTCAAAGACTGTGGATTCATTGAATGCTTTTGAGTTATCGGATGCAGCCAACACAGTGTATTCTTGGTGGCAGTACCAGTTTTGTGATGTATTCATCGAAGCAATCAAGCCTTACTTTTTTGCTGAAAACCCATACAGGACGCATGCACAAGCTGCTCTTTGGATGTGTCTCGAGGCTGGCTTGAGGTTGCTTCATCCGTTTATGCCTTTTGTTACAGAAGAGCTGTGGCAGCGGTTGTCCTCGCCACAAGACTGTGAAAGGAAGGCATCCATCATGATTTGTGATTACCCATCTCCCATAGAGGCGTGGACAAATGAGAAGGTGGAAGCTGAAATGGAGATGGTTTTGGCGACCGTGAAAACACTTAGAACACTGAGAGCTGCAGAGACGCTAGAGAGACGTAGGAATGAAAAGTTACATGCATTTGCTCTGTGTGGAAACGCATTAACAGTGAAAACTGTACTGTCCTATGAGCTGGAGATTAAAACTCTGGCCAATCTGTTATCTTTAGAAGTTGTGTTGAAGGGAGAAGACATAGCAGCCCAGCTTGGATCTGTTGTTGTTGAAATGGTGAACGAGAACCTCAAGGTGTATCTCAAAGTGGATGGAACAGCCATGAATGCAGAAGTTGAACGTGAAAAAATCAGAAACAAAATGGAAGAAATACAAAAGCAAAAGGACAAGTTGGAGAAGGTTATGAGGGTGAATGGGTACGAAGAGAAGGTGCCTGCAAACATAAAGGAAGACAATTGGAGGAAGCTGGCAAAGCTTCTTGAAGAATTCCAATTTCTCAATGACCGTATTGAATGAGAGACCTTAAAAGGTAAAAATACTCTTTTGACAAGATGGAATTATCTTGGAATTTGCAATTTGGATTAGTGAATATGTAGTGTTGTGTAATGTAACGTTAGAAAAGGCAAGTGATTGTTTTGTTTAACTTTTGTTGCCAATCATGGATCAGGTACCTAAAGCCACCCCAAGGAACAATGCTCTGCTGCTGCTACCATTCAAGAGTCTTCGGCGCACGGTACAAAGTGTGGATAGTTTAACAAACAATTTACGATTTGTCTGCTACTTATGATGATGTAACTTGATTATGCTACTTGGCTTCGATTGATTTTCTTATGCACCTTAGCTTCTGTCAAAAAAGTTAGTTTCCCTCTAATTAAATCATTCTTTGTTTCTGATCTTGTCCTGTTTGTCATTTCGACCATTAAACTTAAAGGTTTCCAGTCCAGTTTGGACTCTCAAGAGTTCATCTGCATATGACTGGGAAAAAAAAAACAAAAACAGAAGCAAAACTTATATCAATGGGAAACCTGCACTAACACCATGTAAAACATTTATCTGATGCTTGAATTGTGAAAGGGACTACTACTTCACCAGAACAAACGAAACATGTAACCAAAGCTTGCCATATATGAAGTGAAGCCATTACAAGAAGATAGATCATCGCCGTGATTACCTGCCTTTTAATTAGAGCATCAAATTTAGCTTAGATCTCTCGGATGTAGCTTGTAA